CATTATGAACCTTTTCTATAATTTTATCTTGAGAGTGGCCATTGAGAGTGAGTGTTTGGGAGAGATTGTGAGATTAAAGTGTGAGAGATCAAGTGAGATAGAGTTATGAGGGATTCACAAGGTTTCCCAAAGTGAGGATCTCTTTGTCTTATTCAAATTTTGGCCCATCTCTTCTAGAGATTTTTGAGAGAATATCTTAAATATTATGTCAAGATTCTTTGCTTTCATTAGGAGGGAGAAAAAGGGCGTCTAGGTTCTCTGCCTTCACCAGAAGGGTAAAGAAGGATGACGATTCTCTGCCTTCACCAAGAGGGTAAAAAAAGATGTATAGGTTCTCTACCTTCACTAGGAGGGTGAAAAAGGATAACGGCTCTCTGCCTTCATTGGGAGGGTGAAAAAGGATGATGGTTCTCTTCTGCACTGGCTTGGTGGAAGAGAGTTTATAAGAGCTTCTCTGCCTTGCTGTGGGGGAAACTGGAGAGCCACTTTGATTTAGTGAAATACTTAGAGAAGGAGTCTACAGGGAGTGGATGTAGGTCAAGTTTGGACCAAACCACTATAAAATTTGGTGCTATTCTTTTCACTTTATTTTTTTATATTTTTTTTTTACACTTTAAAGTTTTGTGGTTTAATAATCTTTTGTGATAATCATATCTAAACAACTGTATATTATAGGATCATTGATTAGATTTTCTAGAAATAATTTTTTAAAAATCTAAGAGATTTTTTAAATAACTAATTCACCCCCCTCTTGGTTAGCCTTGAGATAGTTCTATAAGGTTTAACAACCTATATGAACTTTCAAGTGGTATTAGAGCTAAGTTTCAAAAACTAAAGTTTAAACTACTTTTTGAATAATGATTATGGCTAATTTTGGAAATTAGAATACTCCTAAAGGGTATTTGATCACTAGACCACCTTTATTCGATAATTTCTCATTTTATTTTTGGAAAACTCACATGTCTACTTTTCTATAATCACTTTACTATCGCATGTAGATATTAGTATAGGAAGGGTACACTAGACCTACTAGACATATTGATGGCATAAGAATTGAAACACCATTTCCTACTATAATCTTAAATGAAAAAGACTTAGCACAATTGAATGTTAAATGTTTAAACAAATTTTTTGTGCCTTGAAATCAAAGGATTACATAGGTGTTTCAACTTACAAAATTGGAAAAGAAATCTGGGATAGACTTAGTATAACTTATGAAGGAACAAATAAGGTAAAATAATCCAAGTTAAACATTTTATTATACGACTATGAACTATTTTCCATGAAACAAGATGAGTTAATTTTGAAAATGTATACTTGATTTACTCATATTTTTACCTCATTACATGCTTTAGGTAGATAACTAACAAATTCAAAAAAAAGTTAATGAAATCTTAAATTTTGTACCTATTTCTTATGATAAAAGATAACTACCATAACTGAGTCTAAAGATTTGAACGTATATTTTATTGACAATTTGCTTGGATCATTGATTTCTTATGAGCAAGGATCAAAGAAAAATTGATGAAAGTGACAAGCGGAAAGAGAAGAGTATTACTTTAAAAGTTGATGATTCATAAAGTAATCAATTAATCTAAGAGGATGACAAAGATATTGATCTTATGATGAGGTAATTCAAAAGTTTTCTTAGGAGAAAGCAACAAAAACATCATCATTGGAATAAAAGTAAATTTAACATGAATGAAAAAGTTTCAAATGAAGTTATTTATTATGAATGTAGGAAGTCTAGACATATAAAGATTGCTTGCCCAAATCTTAAATCTAACCCTATCAAGGAGAAAGTTGAGGATAAAACTAATATTAGAAAGGGAAAGAAAAGACTGCAAAGAGCTTTCTGGGCAGACTCAGCTTCAGACTCCTTAGAAGTAGAAGCAGAAGAAGAAGTCACAAACTTGAGCATAATGGATGATAAACTTGATCACTCATATCAAGAAGAGATATGTGACCTATCCTATGATGAATTATTTGATGTTTATGAGAAAATCCATAATAAATATAGGAAACTCAAAAAATTACATGCAAATATTAATATTGAGCATATGAATTTACAAAAGGAGTATGAAAACCTTAGAAAAGATCATGCAAATATAGATAGAAATTACAAAATTTTGTTAAATGAATTTGATAATTTGAATAAGGAGCATGATTTATTGAAAACATCTTATAATGAACTTGAAAGTGATTTTATGGTGTATATGGCTGAATCATATCAAAGTGAATATGAGTTAAATGTTGATAATTCAATTTTAGAAAGTCAAACTCATATCTTAAAGAAAAAACTGAAAGCTTTTAAGGAAGATAAGACACCTCCCTCCCACACATGAATAATTTTATAATTCTGATCAAAAGAATACAATTTCAAAATCTAGGAAAATATATTATAACTCACATAGATTGGTAAATCATTTTTCTAGTGTTAAATGCTTTTCATGTGGAATTATATGGCATATATCACACACTTGGACTGTTCATAATAGAACACATTTAGTGTGGAAACCTAAGGTACATAAATCAGAGCATATCAAACATGCATATGGACTATCATTATCAAGAGGTGAACCCAAATTTATTTTGTTTTCCAAGTCTTTTTTTTTTTTTTTTTTTTTTTTTTTTTTTTTTTTTTTTTTTTGAGAAATGCATTTTGCAATTAAGGAAGAAAAAAAAACAAGATACAACTAAAGCAAAGGATCACATTCCTTCTTCAAAAGAAAATAAAGAGAAGGAGGAATGCTAGCAAATGAAGAACTATCAAAGAAAAAGTTAGTATCTAAAGCTAAAGTAGCACAATAATCGGCTACCTTATTACAATCTCTATGAACATGATGAAGAATCACCTTATTGAAGTCGGTCAAGAACATAAAATCCTTCTCAACCCGATCAGCCTTTTGCCATTTGTTCTTGTTCAAAGAATTTTTTATGAATTTGATAACATTGATGTTATCTCCTTCAATTAAAACTCCTTTACACTCAAGCATCCACGGTTGAATGAATCTTCTAAGAATCATAATAGCTTTCATTTCCAGATGTGCAATATCCCAATGTGTTCGTTTTTCACCAAAAGCTATCAACAGCCTTCCTTTATGATCTCTGAAACAACCCCCTATTCCAGCCGTATAACAAGACATAAGAGATGCATCCACATTGATTTTAATCTAGTCTTGCGGTGGAGGGTGCCAAGAATTTTGAAACTCCTGAGGGAGATTATCACCCCATCTATCAATAACTGGATTGGCATTATTAATTGCAGCATAAAGTACATTAGTCGCTGAAACAAGCACTGGGATAGCAGATTTTCCATGCTTTACTGCATTCCTATTTTTCCAATTCTGATATACCGTGTTGTAGTAAATTCTTACGCTGTTAGGTGCAATAGTAGAGAGGATTTTCAATTCAATTAATCATTCATCCATGGATCCAAAAATCGGAACATAGAATCCCCAACTTTGTAACTGTCTAAGAATTTTCTTCAATTCATTACATTTCATAATTATATGGTCCAGGTTTTCATATTCAGAACACCCTCTAACACAGCAATCTGCATCAATGAGTTTTCTATGCTTCAAAAACTCATTAGTAGGAATGGCATTTCAACTAATCCTCCACCAAAAGAGCTCAATCCGAACAAAAAGTTTCAACTTCCTCAACCAAGTATAAAAACTCATATCTTCTTCAACATAATTCTCTTTACTGGATGCATAAACAGCACGGGCTATAATTGATTTCCCAGAGGGAAAGCTGATCTCCTCCAGGAAGTCTTCATTCGCCTCCTTGTTGATAGGTAACTGCTTTATAAGATTGATAATTTCTTCAGAAAAAAACCTCCTCAATTCTTCAATATTCCAATTACCAAGATCTATAATAAAATGACAGAGATTAAGCCCATCAAGACCATTACAATTTGCTGTAATAGGCCATTCACTTAAGCTTTTATCAAGCAGCCAAATATCCTTAAGTACATTAATTTTATCCCTATCAACCACTCTCCACCTTAAAATAGGCTTTAAGTGTACTGCTCCTTCATTCAGGATCTTCCAGGTATTGGACTTACCATGACTACAGCCTCCACGCCACCAGCTATCTCCATATTTGGCATTTAGATTTTGAAACAATAAAGAATTCTGATTCTTCAACAGTCTCCAAGTAAGTCTTACCTTGAGAGGGCCAGCTCTACTTACTGCTGAGTGAAAATTTAATCCACCTTGAGATTTAGGCTTGCACAACATTTTCCAAGCAATATAGTGCATTCCCTTTTTACCATCTCTCTTATGCCATATGAAGTTTCTACAGCACCTATCAACCTCATGGAGAACGTTTTTAGGAACCAAAGAGTGTGCCGAGAAGAAATTAGGAAGACTTAAAAGAGAAGTCTTAGCAAGGGTCATTTTACCAGCTAATGAAAGGCACTTACTTCCCCAAGTGTTCAACTTAAGCATAATAGAATCTTGAATGAATTTGAAATCATTTTTAACCGGTCTTCTCAACATCAATTTGATTCCAAGGTAATGAAACTCTTCAACTATTTTAAACTTCAGAATTTGCTTCACCTGTACCATTTCCATTCTATTCATACCTTTACTGAATAAAATCTGAGATTTTACATTGTTAACCCTTAAACCAGTCCACGAACAGAAGTCCATAATAATACTATTCATCTTAATAGCAAGACCTTTGGAAGCATGAGAGAAAAGCAAAACATCATCAACAAACAATAAGTGACTAACCTTGTTAGCTCTATGTGAGATCTGAATACCCAAACCTTGACCTCGTTGCTCCATCGCTAAGGAAAAAAGTTGAGAGCACAAAATGTACAAATAAGGAGACAAAGGACAACCTTGTCTAAAACCATTCTCAGCACAAATCCATTTGGAGGATTTCCCATTAATAATAAAGGAGAATCTTACATTCCTCACACATTCCATAATGAGCAAATTCATTTTCCTTGGAAATCCAAACATGTTTAACACTTTAGATAAAGTTCCTCAATTCATATTATCATATGCTTGCTCCATGCCAAGCTTAACCGCCATTAACCCCTTCTTTCTTTTGGACATTCTAAGTTTATGGATAACTTCTTGAGCTAAGAGACAATGATCATATATAGATCTACCATGAAGAAAACCAGCTTGTTCTTCAGTAATAAAATTAGCAATGAAGCCCTTCATTCTATTCAAAATCATAGTAGCCACCAACTTATAAGTAGACTGGCACATGCTAATAGGTCTATAGTTAGATGGTAAAATAGGCTTCTTAATCTTGGGGATAAGAATAAGAAGTGTATCCTTCCATTCGTTAAACATGACACCATTTTTAAAGAAATAATCAATAGCTTTCCATGTTTCATCCTCCACAATTTTCCAATAAAACTTGAAAAAGGGCATAGTAATGCCATCTAAACCCGGTGATTTATTGTAACCTTGCATGAAGACAGCTTTTGTAAGTTCTTCTTTAGTGAAATCCAGATTTAGCATATCAGTATCCTCTTTAAAAATCTGCAGAATTTCAGGACAAGGAGGCCAATCCGACAGCTTACAAGTTCTGGCTGACCACTTTTGCTGAAAAAAACTGTAGAAAACAGCTTCAATTTGCTCCAAATCATCCACCACAGTCCCATTCTCATCTTTGACTTGCCATATCATATTCCCATTCCTCTTAGCTGAAGCATATTGATGAAAAATGTTAGAATTTATGTCTCCATCATGTTGCCATCTAATTTTAGACCTTTGGTTCCACCAAGTTGAGAGTCTACTCAAAGTAACATTGAGTTCTTGCACTTTGTTCCTCAACAGTTTCAATTTGTCCACCATTAAACCTCCTTCATTAGCTTCCTCAGTTTGTAACATTAAGATTTCCTTCTTCAGCTCATCTCTTAATAAATTCAGATCATGACATTTGTTCCTATTCCTGCAGTACAAAGCTTTAACAGCTCTCCTCAGCTTCCTTTGGAGAATTTCAGCATTAGAACCGTAGTCCATTTTCTTCCAAGCCTTGAGAATAATGTTCCAAGTTGCTGGATAAGTCTTCCAAGTGTCTTCAAATCTAATGAACCCCGATTTCTGATTATGATTTTCCACAATATTGATAGAGATAGGAGCATGATCCGAGGCTACTATAGGCAAATGACGCACCTTGACCATAGGAACTTTGTGAATAGCCTTAGAATTTAAGAGACACCTATCAAGTCTCTCCCAAATTCTAGAATTCCTTCCTTTTTATTACACCATGTGTAGCTAGGACCCACAAATCCTATATCATGAAAATCATTATTCATCATAAAGTTCTTCATATCTTTGGAGCCCTTAGAGAGATAGAACCTCTTTCCACCCCTTTTATCCTCCTTAGAAAGGATACAATTGAAATCCCCTCCTATGATACAAGGATCATCTCCACTTAAATAATTTTCAAGTTTTCTCCAAAGAGATCTACGGGCATGAGCATCTTTCCCACCATACACCGTTACAATGTTCCACTTACCCAAAGCATTAGTGATTAGCTGCCCAATAACCACTTGGGAGGAGTGATCAACCATTTCAAAGGAAGCAAATTCCTTCTTCCATAAGATTAAGATACCACCCGAATTGCCACTTGAGGGATGTAAGTAATAATCCCACTCACTAACAATGATCTGATTCACATCACTTCTATCAATAGAAGATATCTTTGTTTCAGTAAGCCCCACAAAAAAGCCCTTGTAATCCTTCACAATTTCTCTAAGATATAAGGAGGCCTCCCTCTTTCTAGCCCCCCTATAATTCCAGAAAATGATTGACTCCATTAAGAAATAATAGGGGAAGGATCCCCTACTATTTTGCTATGTTCTTTGTCTACTCTTCTCTTCTGTTGATTAGCTTCCATAGGTCCTAAACATCTCAGTTCTTTTGATAGTTTGCATTTTCCAAAATTTGACACAGATCCCACCTGATCTTCATTTCTCTGTTCAGCAATAGCCTTCTGCAAACCCGGAGTAACAACAACTTCAACTGAATCCAAATCAATGGATTTATTCAAACTCTTATCACTAACCCTTTCAACAACCTCTCCTTCCTCTAATTCACAATCCAATGCTTGGAATTTATTCACAACAACAGGTATCTTCTGAACCTGTAATGCTATAGGTTCCTTTGTTGTTTCAGAAGTAAATGCAGATCCTTCTTCATTAAGAGATCCGTCCAGCTTCTCAGCAGCCTTCCCCTGTTTCACGGATTCAACAATGGTATTAACTCCAATATTTTTCCAGGCATTTCTGAATCTTCTATTGTTAAAATTTACATGGATCCATGACCCATATTCTTCATCTTGCTGCTTAACATTGTCATTCTTTACAACATCATCCTGTTTCACAATTTCTTTATAGCCCTGACTTCTTCTTTCCAATTCCACAGCTGAAACGGAATCAGGACAAACACTCTTACTGTGACCAACTCTACCACATTGATAACAAAGAGATGTCAGTTTTTCGTATTCCACAGGTTGATAAGTTCTTCCATGAATACCTTCTATCCATACTCCTATAGGGAGTTTCTTCTCCAGCTCAATACGAACACAACATCTAGCGTACTCCCACTTTCCCCATTTAAATGAATTCCCATCCAGCATCAAAGGAGTTCCTTTCATTGAGGCAATCATTGGAATATTCTCCTCATCCCAACAGCTCAAAGGCAGTCCCGGGAAACGAATCCATACCGGTGAGGTAATTCCTTTTAGCGAATCAGTAGAGAAGGAAGACGACCATCTGTCCATTCCTATGATATGATTCCCAATGTACCAAGGACCCTCATTCAACACCTCTTCCATGAATTCCAAATTAGCAAACGAACACAGAATCCAATTATGAGCCAACATCGTCAGATGGAAGCTACCATACATACTCCATTGCCTTCGGAGTTCTTGACTACAAACTGAAAATGTCAAGTCCCGTCCCAGAACCTTGATAACCAGCGATTTCTTCAAAACCTAAGAATTTGTTAATTCCTTATCAGTTTTTAACTTCACCGTTACTCCATCTTCCGTCAACTGGGTAGAATTAGAATCAAAATTCAGTCTGATGTGTTGCGTCCTTTTCCAGGCTGATTCAAATTTGTTCCCAGGATTAACAACACCATTCGATTTAATACCCTCTTCTAAATTATCTCCATCTTTCTCAACAGCACCCGTTAGATTCAAAAAATTCTGATTCTAAACTTCAGGAACACGAGGCCCAGCACAATTTTTGACCTTTAGATCAATTTCTATCGATAGTGAATATGTATCCAATTTTGACTGAAATCTAGGAAAAGATTCATCTTCTACATTCTGATCAACAGAAACACATTTTCCTTTCCCTTCCATAATTGGTTCAAGCCTCATCGGTTGCCTAAATCCTTCTATGATTACCAGATTAGAAGAAATTCTGGGTATTTCTTGATCCCCATGAATACCTCGAAAACTGACGGATCTCTGGTCAATAGGTTTAAGAATTGCATTACGAACAACGCCAGACTGATTACTACTGCCAGCAATCTACTGCCGGCGGTCGGATGATGCCATCCACCCACCGCGATTCAAACAGGAAAGATCGCGAAATCAAAAAAACAAACCAATAACAGTTTCTCTCACTAGAACAGGACGCAGAGCTTCTCTCTCTTCCCAAATGAAATCATCTAAAAGAATCTACTTAATATGTTGTTTTCCAAGTCTAATATTGAATTATTCTGCAGAAAAGCACTCATACAAATTCTCATGAGAGCATTTGGTACCTGGATAGCAAATGTTCAAAATATATGATTAAAGATGCAAATCAATTTATATTGCTGGAGGGCAGGACTAGAGACAAGGTAATACTTGTGGTAGGATCAGGTATGATTGATAATAAAAAGAATTCTTTAATTGATAATGTTTTATTGGTGGAAGGCTTGAAGCATAATTTGCTAAGTATTAGTCAGCTTTGTGACAAAAAAATTTAATATAAAATTTTTACCTACAAGCTGCATTATAAGCCAAAATGAAGTTAATATGTTACATGGAGATAAGGTAAACAATGTTTGCATTCTTGATTTGAATTGTATTAAATCTTCAAATAATTTTTGTTTGAAAACTATTACTAATGAATATTGGTTATGACATAGAAGACTTTAACATTTAAGTATGAAAAATCTTAGGAAGATTATGCAGAATAAATTTGTAAGAGGCAAACCCAAATTAGACTTAACTAAGGATCAACTGTGTAATACATATATATTAGGAAAATTAGTCAAGTTATCCTTTTATTCAATTAAGGATGTTAAAACTAACAAACCTTTAGAAGTCCTTCAAATAGATCTCTTTGGACCTATTAGCATTATAAGTCTAGGAAGGAAAACTTTTGGGTATGTGATTGTTGATGATTATTTAAGGTTCACTTGGATTAGATTCTTATCTCATAAGAATGAATCATTTAAAGAGTTTAGAGATTTTTATTCTTGGATTTAGATAAAGCTAGGTTGCAAAATTCTTGTAATTTAAAGTGATCATGGAGGAGAGTTTGAAAAAAAAAATTTTGCATTTCTTTTGCAAAGAGAAAGGGAGTGATTATAAATTTTTAGCTCCTAGAACCCCACAACAGAATGGAGTTAATGAAATAAATAATAGGACTTTAGTAGAACTCATAAGTGTCATGTTGGCTGAATATTCACTTTCTAAATATTTTTGGGCTGAAGCGATTAGTACAACATGTTATATTTTGAATAGGATGAACATTAGATCTAAGTTGAATAAGACACCCTATGAACTTCTTAAAGGTAGAACACCTAACCTTTCACACCCATATGTCTTTGGATGTAAAGTGTTCATTCATAGCAATGCGAAAATTCTTTTAGAAAAATTTGATTCTAAATCTTATGAAGGAATTTTTTTTGGGATATTCATGTGTCGGCAAATCCTATGGAATTTTGAATAAATGAACTTTGGTAGTAGAGGAGACCACTCATATAGTTTTTGATGAATATGATATTTATGGAGGGTCTAGGTTGGAAGAAGAAGAAGACATTGAAGAAAGTACCCAATGAATTGAAAATATAAATCTTGAAGAAAAGGTTGAAACAAAAAAAAAGTTTTCTAGAGAATGGAAATATTCTAAAAGTCATCCTAAGTAATTGATTTTAGGATACATAAGTAATTAGGTAAGAATTAGGTATGGACTTAGCAAAAAAAGGGGAAGATTATTGCAACTCAGGAATTAAGATTGAGATTATGATTTCTGAAATGTTAATACACAAAATATTATTATTTTGTTAATTTAATTAGTTCTCCTAGAATGTACTGGATATTTCTATTTATTTTTATGTGTACTAATATTTCAGAAAAATCATACTCTAGACTGTTGAAGACTTTAAGATAGAGTATAATAGGATTTTATATAATAAAGTACATAAATCTTTATTTTTTTCCTTAAGTCTCAGATGAGAGAGTGTGATTGTAATTGGGTAATTGTGCACACAAAGGGGGAGAAAGTTAAAACTTAAAATTTTAAAACTAATCATACTATATAATATCTAAATCGTATTGTATGAGTTTCCATAGTTCTTACTCCAAAATGTAGTCAATCAAATCATGGCTTTTACTTTTGAATTGTTCATACTATACAATATCAAGTTATACAGATGACCGATAGAGTTTGACATTGTGTTTATCCAAGATCGTACCAAATGAAGCCTGATTTATTTAACTACTCATACAGTATGATGTGTAGTCATATAGATGACTAACAGAATACAAAATTAGGTTCGTACTAGATTGTACCTAATGAACACATTGATTTTTGAAATGTTCGTATAGTATGATATGTATTCGTATAGATGACTGACATTATATGAATTAAGGTTCATACCATATCGTACCAAATGAGCACACTATTTTTGATTTATTCATACAATACAATCTGTATTAGTATAGATGACTAACTTTATATGAATTAAGGTTCATATCAGATCATACCAAACAAACAAAGTATTTTTGAACATTTCATACAATATGATCTTAATTTATCCAGACGACTAATAGTGTACAAAATTAGGTTCATACAGATTCATACCAAGATTTTTGAATTATTCATACAGACGGTCCAAGATTGTATTGTATGATCTGAAATCATTTGACTTATATATTTTTTTAGTTTTTGTATAGTTTTTCTTGTGTTTCCTATATAAGAGGTCCTAAAAACTTATATTATGAACCTTTTATATGATTTTATCTTAAGATTGGAAATTGAGTGCGAGTGTTTGAGAGAGATTGTGAGAGTGAAGTGTGAGAGATCAAATGAGGGACAGTTGTGAGGGATTCACAAGGTTGTCCAAAGCGAGGATCTCTTTGTTTTCTTCAAATTTGAGCCCATCTCCTTTGGAGACTTTTGGGAGAAGACTTTCAACATTGTTTCATGGTTCTCTACCTTCATCAAGAGGGTAAAAAAGGACGTCTAGGTCCTCTGCCTTCACTAAGAGGATGAAAAAGGATGACAATTCTCTACCTTCACGATGAGGGTGAAAAAGGATATCTAGGTTCTATCTACCTTCACCAAGAGGGTGAAAAAGGAAGACAGTTCTTTGCCTTCACCAGGAACGAGAAAAAGGATGATGGTTCTCTACCATACCAGGTTGGTGGAAGAGATTTTGTAAGGCTTCTCTGCCTTACTGCGGGGGAAAAAGAAGTGTCACTTTTATTTAGTGCAATACCTGGAGGAGTCTCTAGGGAGTGGATGTAGGTCAAGTTTGGACTAAACCACTATAAAATTTAGTGTTCTTATGTTCACTTTAATTTTTCTAT